TACTCACAATTCATAATTGAAGAATCAATAGAATTGGGAAGAATAGAATTAATTGTCATTAATTAAAAAGACGGAACTTACAAAGAATACCAAAAGATTGATGAACAAGGCTGAAAAGCCCTCTAAAATTCGTGCTAGGCACTCTCTCTAAGCCCCCCCCCCCCCCCCCCCCCTTGAAAACGGGGGTTTACAGGCTGTTTAAATAGAAAAGTCGGGTGAAATTTGAGCTGAATTAGGATTTTCAGAGCCAGGCACGATGTCAGGCACGATCGTGCCTTCGATCGTGCCTCCGGAGCAAAAACACGCATTTTGGGCAGGCACGATCGTGCCTGGCTGGCAGTAACTCCGCGATGCTTTCTCTTCACGCACGATCGTGCCTGACTTTGAGTGCACGATCGTGCCTACTTAACTTCCGAATTTGGCTATGCTTTCTTCATGAAAGTTGTAGATAATGAAGTCCTATATCCACCCCAATTTTCCGAATGTGATTTGAATCATCGAATCAAGAGATATGATCCAAACGGTGGAAGGTGTCTTTCTGAAATTGCAGCAGAGATCATCTGACTTCATCGTCTCTTTTCACCTTCTTCCTCTCAGATTCTCGCAAAGGTGTCTTCATATGATTTGTAGCTCTTGAAGTTGGATTTCATATGGAACTTGAATCGTGTCCATTGGTTGTTTCTACAAACAGATATGATTGAACGATTGACAGAAGGTCATCCTGATCGTCGTTTTCAAGCTCTTTTCGTCTTCTTTTGACCCCGTAGCCAATCCTAGAGCTCTTTTTCCTTCAAATCTTCATCGTGAATCTTCCGGTGACCTCCAAAGCTATCAAATCATTCTCAAATTCTTCTCAAATCATCCCGATTGTTCCTCAAGTGCCGGTACCGGGCTCAAATTCCCTGATTTTGACTACAAACAACACAAAACTCGAACCAACGCCTGGTAAACATAACTTGAGCTAAAATTGAGACTTGTAACACCTTAAAGCTAGTAAAACCATCAAAATCCAATCCCAACACGCATCAAATGTGTGTCTAAATACGGACTTATCAATCGTCTATTAGATTTCTTGGAAGTAACCAAGGTGAATCCATCATCCTCAGGAGTAGGAGGTGTGATGACAGAATCACATCTGATACATTCTCACACTGATTATTCGCAGAAGAACTCTTCAACAAATTAATGGCCCTTGACAGTTGAAAAGTTCAATGCCCAGTTAGTCATTCAAGGTTTTAGACAAAAACTCAGAATTGACTATTTTAATATATATGTGTTGGTAGCTCAAATTACAACCGTTAGGTAGATAATTGCTTTGGCGGCTATACACAATATGAGTATACATTAGATGGATGTCAAGACAGATTTTCTAAATGTTGATTTTGATGATGATCGAAGTTTACATGAAACAAATGTAAGGTTTCATTATGCCTCAAAACGAACATAAGGTGTGTAAACTTGTTAAATCATTGTATAGGCTCAAACAAGCACCCAAAACATGGAGTCAAAAGTTTGATGAAGTTATTTTGTCGAATGGTTTTGGCTTAAACCAATCAGACAAGTGTGTTTATAGCCCGTTTGACACTTTAGGCGCGGGTGTGTTTATATGTCTCTATGTTGATCAGGTTAATGAAATTAAAATGTTGTATCATCAACGTATTCCATAAAGGACACGAGGGAGGCGAATGTGATCCTTGGATTAAGGATTAAACAGGTATACAAAGGAAATGCTTTGAAACTCATTAAAAGCAAAGCCCCTCTTCATTATAATATTCAATTGCACATTTATCCTTCTCCGAGGGATAGGCATACTATCTTTTACACTTGGATTAAGCCTCAATTGGGTTTTATTAAAGTTAATATTTCTACTAGAATTCTCCACACTAATATTGTGACATCGGGTTTTATTCCTAGAGATTCCAATGGTTACTACAAAGGGCACGCTAGTCATCTTAGTCACACAAAGGATCCGAATGTCGCCCTTTATGATGCCATTATTTATTTTAGACCTTTTTTTGATCAACTTCCAACAACTAACTTTATCATTGAACTTGATAACTCGCAGGTATGTGCTGCTATTCGAGGATAAATATTGCACCATTGAACCCACTGGAAGAGTTGCACGCGTATAAGAAGACAATACAACTCCAATCGTTTTGCTTCCAGTTCTATTAATGCTGGTGCTAATCGGGCGGCGGGATATGTTGCTTTTAATAAAGTTAGAATTAGTCGATCCCAAATGCATTGTAATCAATTTTTTGGTATCCTTAAATATGATAACATTAGCTACCATTATCCCTATTTTTTAATTAGGCTCAGCCCAGTCACTTTGTTTTTGTAATCTTTGTTATAATAAATTGGTAAGGTGTTACCCGGCCCTTACCCCATCCTCGGATGGTTTGCCACGGGTGTTAAAAAAGGAAATGCTTTGACACAAGCTTACTATGTTGAGAATATTCTCAAAAGGTTTAAACTATAGTGATTTTCACTTACTCGTTAGTACTTCCATGAATCCTAATGTGAAGTCGATGCTTAATAAAGGAAATGCAATATCACAACTCTAGTAATCTCAAGCTATTGGTAGTATGATGTATGTCATGACAAGCACCCGACCCGATATTGCTTATGTCGTGAGAAAGTTGAGCCAGTATACTAGTAGTCCAGGTACTCAACATTATATTGGCAAGCAATGAAGAGAATATTCAAGCGTGGATTATGGTTTGTGTTACTTTGAGTATCCTTAGGTGTTAGAGGAATATTCGGATGCAAGTTGGATATCCAATGTAAGGAATCATTTTTCTACAAATGGTTGGGTATTCTTGTTTGAAGGATGTGCTATTTCTTGGGGATCCAAGATGCAAATTTGTATCACAAGCTCAACAATGGAATTTGAGTTTGTTGCATTGTCTACCACCGGTAAAGAGGCATAATTGTTAAGAAAATTAATTTTTTAGATTCCATTGTGATCAAAACCGATTGCAACTATTTCCATCCATTGTGATAATCCTGCCACTTTGGCTAAAACATATAGTCATTTTTATAATGACGAGTCTAGACACTTGAGTGTTAGACATAGTATGATTGGGAAATTAATCATGAACAATGTAATTTCAATGGAGTTTGTTAGATTGCAACAATTTGAGTTCTTATTTATGGCCTTCCTCTTGTGAACTTACTGCCACCTCAACTGTTTCTAATGGAGTTAGGGTTCAGACCCGTGGGTGATAACAAACTTAGAGTATGGGAAGATTGATAATAAATGAAACACATGTCCCTATCTGAAAACACTCTTAAACACAAATACTTTTTTCGTACTTTTCCCTCAATTTTTTAGTTAAAAACCTGACGAATTGAAAATTGAAATAATATATAACACAAATAAGACTACATGATTCTCCTTAGACATAAATATGACTAATATTTAATCTCAACAAAAGAGACTAATTGTATGTGAACTGACAAAAATACCCCTTATTTAAATCCAAAACAAAACCCTAATACCCATCTTCTCTCACCCGTCTACATCCTTCGATCAGCTTCCTCGTTGACCTAAGCTATTGCATCGTTGCTGTCCAAACCAAGGTACTGCCGCCGCCCTAGCCATGGAATCGCCACTGCCAAAATTAGGGAATCACCGCTGCCCAAGCCATGATGTCACTACCGCCTCCTAAGACATGGCATCGCCACTTTCTACCAAACTAGACGCTACTGTTGAGACTATTAACACAGTCATTGTTCCTCTTCACCGCAAATTTCGCAGATTCCTCCTCCTCCTCCTCCCCCTCCCCCTCCCCCCTCCTCCTCCTCCCTCCTCCTCCTCCTCCTCTCCCTCCCCCTCCCCCCTCCTCCTCCCCCCTCCTCCTCCTCCTCCTCCCTCCCTCCTCCCCCTCCTCCTCCTCCTCCCCCCTCCTCCCCCTCCCCCTCCCCCTCCCCGTCCCCCTTCTCCTCCTCCACCTCCTTCAGCTTCTTCTTCTTCTTCTTCTTCTTCTACCCGATGGTTCACCGTCCTTCTCCTCAGAACGATGGTGGAATCTCGTTTTCTAATGTTAATGTTGAAGGGTGGGGGCAAAAGTTCGGGTACTGATGGGAGCGGCGACAAGGGATGGGGGTTGGGGACAGTGGCTTAGTTATGGAATAAGGTTATGATGCAGGGAGTGGGGGAAGTGGTGTCGGTCGGTTGTACTGGGCGATGCGAAAGGGGTGGCAACTAGACGGGGTGACGGCCACCAGGAGGGTCAGGGCGGCGACAGTCACGGGAAGGGATAGTGCGGCAGCGTCGGTCACGAGACAAGAAGGAGCAACATGGTACCGGGTGGATGGGCGGAAGGGCGCTCGTATAAAACTACAAGAATTTTGACATAATGTGACAAATTTTTTCGTCACGGAAAATTCATTTTTTGTCACTAAAACTTTTATATGACGAATTATGAGCGTCACAGTGATCGTCACCGTAGCTCCGTGGTATTAGTTGTATGTGACAAATTTTTTATTCGTCACCAAATAGACAACATTTAATGACATTTTAACACTTTGTCGCCATTATTAATCACTTTTAGTGACGCCAAATGTGTCACGTTTATATTGATTTTTTTGTCATCTAAATATGTATTTTGTCACCAATAATTCATACAATAAATGACAAACTATTAAATTGTCAACAAATCATAGCATATAGTGACAATCCCCGATATATTTTCTGGACTTTTGACTTGTGACAGTAACAAAATCGTCATATTTAAATTACTTATTTTGTCACATTTATAAACATTCGTCATTAATTAGAATTACTTTAATTACAACTTTTTTCGTCACTTATAAACTATTTATGATGACAATACAATTACATATATTTGTCACCATTCAAAATATGTAAGGTGACGAGTCTTTTTAAAGACAAAGTTGATTGGACAAACTTTTGTGTACAAAAGTGACATTAAGAAATGAAATAGTGCCAAAATATAAATATCAACAAAGTAATATATTCAATGCTAAAAAATTGTACTTTATGCCAAAACTAAACAACACAATTAAAAAATTAACATTCCCATGCGGATACATATAATGATAGATGACTAAAACAAATGACTACCTAAATAACACTTATAACTATACTGGAACATTAAGCAAAACTAGACATCATAAATCCTTTCATTTAGTACTTAAATGCTATGACTTTCTTCACTTTGAAGCTTGATGAGGTATTTGTTATCTCAGCTTTAACGTCTTTTTTTCATTATCTTCGACTTTGAATCTTAAATCCATCCAACTTGTGCACACTTTATCTCCTTCTCTTCTACAACATAATGGCAGAACTACAAAGGACACTTGAGTATCACTACACGTCTCCACCACACACTGCGCCTCATATACTTGTAGATACCTTGAGAACAATTTGATCGTTGAGCCACATGTAAACAACAACCAATACAAACTAAGTTGCTGCCTTGGCACCAAGAATGAACCACACCAAGTATTACAAAAGGAATTATTGGTTTTGCCATAGGCACAAACTGCAAATCAAACAATTACGTTAGCCACAATATCACCTGTTCTCTTTATCAACTAATTTTCATTTTTGCAACTATACAAGTGAATAATCAAACACCTTCTCAACCCCCGCCTAATTACTTGCAGATTTTTGTTTTTAGACAATAGTAAACATTTAAATAGCAATAAGAAACTCCTATGTAATATTCAGGGTGCAATCTTTTCGGATTCAAAAGGGTCCCCTGTCTGATTGAAGCAACTAAAATTGAAGATTGAATGTTAAAAATGTAATACTTGGACATAAAAGAATAGGAGGCTAGAACTAAAGGAATACTAATCTGGTTTACTTAATCCAACAAAAACGCTTCTGACAAACCGACAACAACAACAACATCCATGTTTTAGTCCCAAAGAGTTTGGAGTCGGATAATATGAATCGATATATGAAGCTGGAGTTAAAAAAGTAAGTACATGGTAACTTCCGTTATTTATTTGAAAAAATCAAAGAAAAAACATACTAGTAAATGAGATACTAGACTCACTTACCATAGTAAACGCAGATGGTCCAAGTGCTCATATATTTAGTGTAGCTAATGATTTTGGTTTAGTCAAAAGGCACACTCAAAGTCCATTTGACATGTGCATAAGCCACTGTAAAAGTACGTCATGTGATATATCAAACCAATTTAGTTAGAGGCATAAAAAAATGCTCAAATCATTAAGACATAGTAACATACCGAAAATAAAGATGGTTTTCTTCATGGGGTTGAAAGTTGAAGTCATTAAGTGTAAATTTGCAGTATCCCCATTTGTTTTCTCTCTATCTTCCTCTTCTCTTAGCCCCATCATTTGCATTTTATCTATCTTCCTCTTCTCTTAACCCCACTACTGTAAGTACTTTATTTGAAGAACCAAAGATGAATCATAAGAGTATATATGATAGAAAACACAGTACACTTGCTACATTGAACTAGTTGCATCAAAGCCAAGCTAATGAGTCCATCAAGCACTACTTTCTCCAACATCTTCATATACGGGTGACCAAACTGAAAAAATACTAGAACATATGTTGCAATGACTAAGAAGACTCAAATATAGAAGATTTATAGGATAATCAATCATGTAATAACGCCCTCAAATATATTCACCACTCTCATAACACAAAATGAAAGAAACATCAGTTGAAAAACAAACATTTAGCAATTAAAATCAATTGTACCATTGTACCTAATAATTATAGATGATAACCTTTATCCAAGCTGAGGAATACAAATAGAGAGAATGTTTCTCATCCACACAAAAATCATTCATTTGGTAAAAATACCTTAAACTTGCCATCAAAACTAAGAAACACACTGAGCTGAAATCATATGAAGTTAGATCAAACAATATAATTTGCCGCTACTGTAACAGAACAAATTAGTTACATAAATCAAAAGCGAAGTAATTGAACCATAGAATTATCACATCAATCAAACAGAAGAAATTAAAAATACATTTACCTGAATCGTTTTTTTTTTTTTTGACATATTTACCTGAATCGTTTGAAGTTTCATCATTTAGCCTAGCGCCCAACTAGTAGCCGACCACGGTCGTAATCATATCTGCCTGAAATGGCCCCCGGCCCCTGGCCCCAGCTCAGGCAATTCAGCCAATTCAGTCAATTATGTGAAATAAAAGTAATATATCATTCGTGAAATCAAAAGTTACCTATTTGGTGAAAAAGTTAGTTAATAAAGTTGATAATCCGGAAACAGAATTCACCGAACAGACATTAAAACCATTTGTAGTGGAGAGATATCAGGAGTCCAAAAAGCAAAGGTGGAATCTTTGGACTCCGTACATTGTGAGATTAAAAAGTGTATTAAAAGTGGGAAAACGGGAAGATGTTTAGACATTTACTCCACCAACCTAGATTTTGAAGGATTTTTTAGGATATTAAATTCCATGGATTTTAAAAGAATTAGAAAGACTCCACCAGATTTTGTGGAATTCTATCAGATTCCATTGACAATAGATGCTTGCTTTCTTTTATCCTTTTTGTAATGGATGTGCGTACAAAGCTTCCACACCTCACCTTCCCAGACACGACCTGCTACTCCACAAAGCTCACCATCAGTTCTCTTTTCGACATTTTTATGAGCCGATTTGGCTGGAAACAGACCGGCGAACTGTGCTATTGCGACGGTGGTCGAGTTAGAGCACCCAAAGATTGAAATCGGACCTCCAATCGTTCAGCAGGTTGGGAAAGTACTTGCCTGCTAGTTATCGAGGATGAAGAAGGCGGATCTGAAGTGAGGAGGAAGAAGAAGTTTGGACTCACGGATCTTGTCCGCTTGATTTGTCGATGTTGCTTCGCCGCCATAAGGTTGGTGCTGTCGAAGAAAGAAAGGAAGTGGAAGAAGGGAAGGAAGACTGTTATAGAAGGGAAGGAAGGCAGTTATAAAAGGGATGGAAGGCAGACGATGTTCGAGCTCTCATCCAGACTTCCGATTTCAGTTGCCAGCGAGTTCCTTGTGACTCTCACGGGAAATCCTTTGAAATCCGAAGAAAAGTGTAAAGATTTTGGACGGTATTCTTTCCTTTACATTTTACGATTGAAATCCATGGAAATCCTTAGCAATCCAAGTCTAATAAAATCCATGGATATGTTGAGGACAACCAGATTTTGTTAGACTCCCGCAGATTCTACGTTGAGGACACCCGGGTTCTACAAATCTTTTAAAATCCTATGGATTCCTAATTGAGGACACCCCCGTTAGTTAGTAAAGGAGTAAATGAGTAATTGAGGGAGAAAAGAAAAGAAAATGAAAGAATGCGACAGCAGAGGGAAGCTTGTGGAACGGATGACGTCACCTCATATTTTTGTAAAGTTTATAATTTTTTTATTTGTACTCCAAAGTTTTGAAAAAATATACCAAAATATTTAAATTTTAATGATCTTTCATATAACACCAATGGGAAAAGATCACATGAGAAGTGTGTTTTAGGCTAAGAACTGCGAAGTTTAACTAATAGAGACAATAAGCTAAGGTAACTTATATAACAGAAAGGCCCTAACAGAAATCATAACTTATAGTTCAACAACTCTAAGGGTTTGTTTGCAATCAATTAAAAAAAGTGATTTTGGCTTTTTTTAAAGAAACAAGCACTTATTTTCCCAAACACTATCAACTTTTACTTCCTCGGTTTTCGTGTAGAATCTACTTTTTACTTTTTCTATTACACAAAAAACATTTATTTTACCAAACACTACCAATTTTTACTACTAATCACTTTTTCCCAAAAAGTGCTTTTATTTAAGCACAAGTGGTTGCAAACAGAGCCTAAGGGTCTGTTTGCAACAGCTTCTGCTTTTAAAAAAGTGTTTTTTAATGAAATAGGGAGAAGTGATTAAATAAAAGTTGTTTGTGTTTGAGAAAAAAGTGATTTTGAAAAGTAAAAGTGGGTAGTGTTTGGTAAAATAAGTGCTTTTTGTGTAATAGAAAAAGTAAAAGCACTTTTGACGCGGAAGCTGAGAAAAATAAAAGTTGTAGTGTTTGGAAAAATAAGTGTTTTTTTAAAGCCAAGAGCTGAGAAATGCTTTTTTAAAAGAAGTTGCAAACCAACCCTAAATCAAAAGTATAATTTTATAGTGAAAAATTGAGGAAGTATGAGATTACAATGAAAAACAATAGTATTAGTTGAAAAATATTTACTAAAAAATATTTAACAAAAAGATATTTATTTATTTACCAAGACATATATGTCCTAGTACACTATTAATACCTTAAACATAACTTATAAAACCAAATGTGTAACTTTTATAACCTTTTAAATTACTTCGCAGTTCTCAACCTAAGAACATTTCTGATCTGATCCGCTCTCTAACACCAATAATATATATATAAACTTAAACAAAATATGAAGTTTTCAATTGCTAGAGTTTTTTGGAGCCCTAAAAAACATGGAACACAAATTTTTAATCCATGATGCATCCATAAATAACTGCACATTACATAAACTCATTTTATTTTTATTAAAACTGGAAAAAGTAAAAAAGAAATTGATGAATTTTTATTTTTAACATCAAAATGTGTATTTTTTTATTATCATGATTATTCAGAAAAAAACAAGAAAAAAATTACTTATAATAATTTAATTAATGTATTAATTAATCAATATTTAAAAAAACATGTTAAGTGTATTTTATTGATGATGCTGGAATGCTGAATTTTCTAAATATTGTTTTCGTATGGATGGATATCAAATTTAAGAGCCCGTTTGGAGAACTCTGTTTTCGGCTTATCAGGCTTATCAACCAGCTTTTTCACCAAACACGTAACTTTTACTTTCGCGCGCTGAATTGTGTAATAAGCCGAAAAAGTAAGGTTGGAGTTACTTTTCTGGCTGTATTGGCTGAAGTTACTGTAGAGGACCATTTTAGCTATTTTTACATATAATTTTTTCTTTAATTTATTAATAAAATATATTTTTAAAATATTTTTTTCTTAAATCAGCAGAATCAGCCAAAACAGCCACTCCAGCCAGAATATCATAAATTTCAGCAGAATCAGCCAAAACAGCCGATTTTGGTGCTACCAAACGGGCTCTAAGTCTTTAGGCTGTGCTCGAATGTATGTGGTCCAAGAGTTAGTTCCGGAGTTGCCATTTGCCAAACAAGATCACTATTTCGTGCGTCTATGGTTTGAGAAAAAATGAATTTTTGGTTAAAGTATTTTAAATTTTTTGGAGTTGAAAAAGTTAGCAAGTACGTAGTATTTTGGGAAAGTTTCCGAAATAGGACTAAAAAAGTTTGAAAATTCCAAAATAGGACTGTCATGTTTTTATTCCCAAAATAGGACTAATCACTACCAAATTTGGAGAATACTACCATGTTTGAAGTCTGGTACTGCCAAAACATGACAGTAATTAGTCCTATTTTAGGAATAAAAACATGGAAGTCCTATTTTGGAATTTCCAAACTTTTTTAGTCCCATTTTGGGTAATATCTCTAGTATTATTTTTGGTTGAGACCTGCTTGGGGTACCCCAATTTGTACCTCAATCTGTACACCGTCTGTATACACAGACATTTAGACAGAAAGTCCTGCTCTATTTCAAACGAATTACCTGTGTACACCGGCAATTCAGAGGTGGATACAAAATGAGATACATTTTGGGGTACCTATAAATTTTTTTTTGATTTAAGACAATGGCCTTGACTGTAAAAGAAGTTTTGGTTGTATATGCTCCCTATTTAATGCGCACAATTGCACATGTGTCGGGTGTTGCAGAATACAAAATAAAATCTTACTGTACGTGGCTGTCACTTAATTTAGAATTGGGTAGGTAAACAATCCCAGCCTCCAAATAAATGCGATGGTTGCGCAGTGACTTGAATAAGCGGTTTGCACGCCATTCTTTCATGAAGACATGCATTTAAGTGGTCTATTACTAATAGAGACACGGCCAAGTGCTGGTAACAAAGGTTGGACACAATAAAGTGAATTAAAATATTAGGGTATGTTTATCAACAAATATATTTTTAGTTTTCTTTTCATTTTTGCGTTCTCCTGTTTTCATTTTCCAGTTTTTTTGGATCCCTCCTTAATTGGAGACATTCTAGAAAATTCTAAAAATTTCTAGAGAAGTACAAAATTTACTAGAATGTTCCGGAGAATCATAAAGAAGTCTAGAACTCTCTAGAAGCTTGTGGAATAGTGTGGAATCCTCTAGAATATTCTAGAGATGTGTGGAACCTTCCAGAACCTTATGGAAGAGTATGGAAGCATATGGAACTATGGAAGGGAATGGAGAGGTGTAGAGATTCCTTGGAGTTTTCAAGAATAGGTAGACATATGTAGAGCATTATAGAGAACTACTCTCCACCATTCATTATGGAGGTGGAGTAGTATAAATAGGAGTAGAGACCTCCATTCCTAACCATCCTAGCAAGAGAGAAGCCACTTTCTAGACTGAGAAAGCTAGAGAGTTAGAGAGATAGCTTGGGAAGTTCTTATCCTCAAGCTTGAGTGAGCTACCATTGAGTGAGACAATTTTGTAACATCCTTGTAAATCCTACTATTCTTATGTATAGTGGAAGAATCTCCATATTGGAGAATTTAAATCGTGTGCTCTCATTGATACCTTATTTCCTAAGTGCCTATCTTAACTTCACGAAGCGGGAAAGTTCGGAGTTTTTTCCAACAAGTTTTTCGTTCTCCAATTTTCTATCTTCATTATCAAGTTTTCCATTGTCAAATAAAAAAACATGTTCATCAAATATTTTCATCCAATTCTGGGATCGGCCGAAAGATCAAAAGTACGGTGCTAGTCAGAACCAGACCTAGTACATCCCAAATAGGGTACCCGATCCTTGGTAAAGGAAAATTGATACTGAAATATGCTGATCTCAGTCGGTCCCAATTGCTAGTTTGACTAGTTCTTTCCATTTTTCCTTATTGGTTGGTGACCCAACGATTCTTTTGAAACTCTTCACTTTGAAAAAAATATTTAAAAAATAGGGATCGAACAGGGACATGGACTGTCGGGTTGTCGACTGAACCGGACTGGGATTGTCCAGTTGTCAATTAGACCGGGCCGCGACCGTCCGGTCATCAATCAGACCGAGCCACCGAGTCATCTCCCGGACTAGACCGGATCGTGCCTTAACTACTGGGTCATTAACCGGATTGGACTGGGACCGTCGGGTCATTGTCCGCATTGGACCGAGGCTGCGAGGTCGTCAACCGGGTCAGACCGGATCGGGACGACCTGGTTATCGATCGGATCAGACCGTGATCACCTGGTAGTTGACCGCAGCGAGACCGGGTCCACCACTAGGAGTAAGTAGGCAAACTAGAATAAGTCGCTTCTCCAATTCATTAAGGAAAATAAGACATATCTCATTTTGTTTTGTTTTGGAAAATGATTTGGTAAACACATTTTCTTGTTTTCCTTAATCGAGTTTTCCAGCAAATTTTTTGGTAAACACGTTTTCCAGTTTTTTCTTTCTAGTTTTCTAGTTCCCTGAAAAGTCGAAAATACCTCTGTTATTATACAGGACCTTAGTATATGGGCCATATGTCACACTTTGTTTTAGGCCCTGAAAAATATTTTCTTTGTTTATCATCCCTAGAATTTATGTTGGTTTCTTTTTAGTCCATGACTTATTATAACAACCCCCGTTTGACAACAAAGAAGCCCCGAATAATGGTTTTCTCTACTTCTTTGTCATGACATTCAAAAAGTATTTAATTTTATTTTTAAAAAATTTGTAATGCATATTTTAAAAATGTGAATAATTAGTTTTATATTATTTTAACTCTCATATTAGTCTCAAAAAATTATTAAATGACAAATTTAAATATTTTATAGTAGATTTATGCAACTGACAATAAACATTTTTCTAAGTAGAGTTGTTTCGGAGTTACAAATGGACTAAAAACCAATATAGTGCATATTACAGGTATGAAAAGCAAAGAAAATATTTTGCATGACCTAAAACAAAGTGTCATATTTGCAGGGACTAAAACCATATTTAAACGTTTTTTGGAAATTAAACAAAAAATTTATTCATATCAAATGATAGCAAAGAAACAAGTAAATGAATAGCCTAAGGCTACAGTGGGATGAAACTTTGAACGAAAAAAGATCCCATGAATCCTTCCAGATCGCTGCTAACCCCGTAATAATGTAGTCTAGTCTAACATCCTTGCTGCACTTGCTACTTCAAATACAAATAAAAAATTACAAATAAAAGATCCGGCTTCACCAGTCACCAGAAAAGGGA